GAAATGATCTTTATGAGTTATTGAACAGCAAACTCATTAAAACAGAATGCAATAATTTTATTTACTTCAATGTTTAATGATGAATGTCGCTCTCGATGTCATGATAAGCTCTACGAGTATGAACTTATAGTAGCTCAGTCAAGCGGGAAAAGATCCAGTTACACTCCAAAATTTATTATTCAAAAATTTCGTAAGAAAAAACAGAGTTTGAAACTCTAAAGTTCGAAAACTATTTCGAAAACATTTTCGATAATTGAAAAGTTTTTGTATATAAGATTTGCAATTCTTAATGACCATTTACCTATTTCGAGTATTGCCAAGTACTCATCATCAGTTGTCTTGAGATTATTTTTTGTATACGTAAATAATTGTTTGAGACTGCAAGTACTAGGGATTGAACTCCTGGAATTTTGATTTTAATAAAACAAAAATTGAATGTGTCCATATTTCAAAATTTAATTAATTTCAGACATTTTTATGGTTTCAGGAAATACAATTCAACTAAAATCAATTTCAATGTAAGCCATTTTAATTCGCTTACTCATGTAGTCAATGTTCAACTTAGTTGATATATATATTTTTAATAAATAGCAAGGAAATATACAGATGACAACTGGCTTACGCATGCAATAAGTATTCAAATGAACAGTTATCATATACAGGTACCAGCCGACTTACAAAGTATTTAAATTGACTTATATATTTATGTAGATTTGAATTAACAGTAGCCAAAGAGATAGTTAGTTGCATGAAATAAACGAAGAGAAAGTAAACTAATAAAAGTGCCAACCAATTTGTAAAAATAGAAGAAAAAGAAAATTATTAAGAAAAAAATCTTGTTGAAAATCTACGTATAAATATTTAAAGTATTAGAAAGTAGATAAAATATGAAATAAAACATAGAGTAAAGTAATAAAAACATGATGAGATAAAAAATTGAAATTGGAATGAAATAAAAAAAATGTATCTGATTTAAGTGTTTTCCATAATACACATCAATTATTATTAATACTTAATGTATTATTTTATGGTCATTTCAAATTATGCGGTTTCAATAGCAATAAAATTCATATAGATTTATAATTATATGTGCATTAAATTTTAAAATATTACCATTTATAAATACTAAAAACCGAATCTGATTTTCTTCGTAAACTATATGAAAATTATTTAATAGTAGTAAATCATAAAAAAAATTTTACACTTATTATTTAAATGGCCACAATATTCAATGTATCTATGTGTCCATAGGCAAATTACTAATTTGCTTAAAATTATTTTTACTACTGCTACTCTTTGAGTGATAAAGCGTGATTTCAAAATTTCACTCAAAATTAGTACGAAACGACAGATCGGCACACCTAAAATTATTACATGAACCGCATCGAATGGACCGATAAATCACATAAAGCCAAGTGAATACGTATATACCATGTTACCTAGTGGATTAGTTGCCTGTAACGTAAGAGTGTAAATCATATAAATATTAATTGACAGTGCAGTTGGGTAGAAAGATAAGAGCAACTAGTAACTATAAAAACTGCAATTACAAAAAAAAAAATCAAAAAAAAAAATTAAAAATAAAATGCTAGAAAAAAGCAAAAAAATATATAAAATCAACATAACAAGCTCGACGAAGATTTGGAAAATAGTTAACGGAAATTGTTGTGACCACATGAAAAAAATAAAAGAAGTCGATACATTCAAATACTGCATTCAGGCTGCACTTATTGTAACTGCAGTCTTTGCCTTTGGTCGTATAAGTTACCAGCAATGTTGGCCAAACCAAAACAATTTGAACATTTAAGCTGAATTTTATTTTTATATTTTTATTTTTCGGTTTTACCTTGGCTTGGGTATACGTAAAATTTACGACAACAAGTTAACAAATTTTTAACCTACGAGTCAAATGCAGCAAACTAGGAGTGAATTATGTTTGCGGCTTAAACAATTGAAATAAATTGCACCACCACCGACGACCCATCGACCAGGCAAAGTAAATAGTGACTTTTGGGGATTTTGTCGCGTTGTTGAAATTTATTTAAAAATTTGTTACGACCAATTCTGCCAAGAAAAGGTACAAGTACTGGTACCTTAGATTAGGTATATTTATACGCTTGGTCAACAAACGATTCTTGATGGCGTTATGTTTTCTTTATTTTTGAATGGAAAAATTGATAAGAACAAAAATGCAAAACAACAAACTAAAATAAAAATACAAAACTTAAAAAAAGTACGGTTACATACAAGTTTGAAAACAATTGCAACTTACTAAAAACAATAGATACATTAACCGACTAAATTCATTCCAATCAAAGCAAAACTTTGGTAATATAAGTTTTTGTTTAGTTTTGCTTGGCAGATACTTTGTGCAACGTGCGCGTTGTTTAAAATGTTAAATAACTGTTTTAAAGACCCCAAAATGCCGTAATGCAGAAAAGTGAACTGCAAACTGCACATTCCGATTTTATATGCACTTTTTGTCTAATTTAAAAGTGCCACAATGCAAATCTGACTAAAAAATTTCATTGAACTCGTAAATTTTTTTATATATTTTTTTCTTTTAATGTTGCACCTGGGGTGCGGTTTGACTTTGGCGCACGTAGTACGCCTCTTAGCCAAATTTGATGTTTCTCCTTTAACGAAAACATTTTTTACCTTTTATGACTCGACTTTAATAGCTTTGCAGCTGTGTTAACCAAGAAAAAAATAAAGAAAAACTGAAAAATGTTTTATCGTGTTGACGCCATGTCCACAAGTTTCCAGTATCGGTTTTTTTTGTTTAAGTGGGCTGTCTTTGAAATACAATTTGCACTTTCTAGTAAATAATTCACTTTAGTGCGTTTATAACAGTTTTCGAATATGTATAATGTGTACTTAATTAGAATTGTCGGAAAGTTGTATGATCCACTCTAGAAGTGATGTTAAAAAATATCAAAAAGCTTTGCAGATGAAATTATCTTTTAAATTCCATTTTAGTCCATTTTAGTATTATAAAAAAATTTTATAAATGTGCAATCAAATAGATGTAATATAAACTTAACGGATCATGTTTGGAAAGAATTAACGTATCCGCCGTGTCCATCAGATGTCATTTCTTTAGAATACCATAAAACATAGTCCATGAAACATGATAGAATAATCATGAAATTTGTCTAAAAATTTACCATATCGAAAGAACCAAACTTCTACAAAGAGGGTTTTTGTAAATTATCTGAAATATAAGCGATTTAAATCGGTTCTTCAAATTAGTTGAGGTTTTATATTATATAGAAATATTTAAACCTTTTGTGTTTAATAAAATGAGATGTTATTGCTAATATGTTACTTTTCTAGACAATTAAACAGTAATTAAATTTAAAGGAATTATTGTAAATGCAATTGCAGAACTTAGAATAGGATAGGATGTTTTTCTCTAGATGTAACTGTTACATACATTATTTAATATCCTTCTCTACACTGTTAACTCATTATTTAGAAATTAGTTCCTGATTATTGTAATTTGGTGTTTAAAATTTAACTAAAATGAAAAAACCAATTATGCACACTTTAAGTAATTTTAAATGATTTCTTAAAAGCTCACTTGTTTGTCAAAAAAGATCAGTTAAGAAAACAATAATAAACGGCATAAGTATTCTGTTGTTAGCCACTTAAAGTGTTACCACTTTTTAGCCTTGGGCTTTACGAGAATACGAAAAGATTGCAAACAACAACGAGACAACAAACAAAGTCGGAAAGTCCACAACGGACTACAACGTTCTGAAGGTGCAGATACTCAAATAAATATAAAATAAAAAAAAACTATTTTAACTGAAATTTTGACATTCGATGACTTAAATCGTGTTCTGCTACCAAAACTCTTTAATGTTACAACAACAACAACAACAACAACAACAACACATAATAAGAGCACTAATAATATTTACAAAACCAACGGCAACAGCAGCAACAAGAAGTTCACTCCATTGACATAGAAAAATTATTAAAGACACAACATAGCCCGCTTTTTACTTCTTGTTATTTTGGTGCTATTCCGGATTGCATGGAGCGTGGCGTGAAGATTTCGTCGTACTTGTAGTCTCGTAGTCTGTGTGGTTAAGCTTCAAATATACATACTTAAGAGTATTGAATACTAAATGAGCATGTCTGTCTGCGATTTTCAGGTCTCGCTATTGATGTATACAACGTACATTGACTTTCGAGTATTGTAAAAGCAATCAATTGAGTTGTAAAATAATTTTGTCAATAAAAAGCGAATAAATTTGCCAGAAGCGTTACCGTTTTCTTTTCATTTTTGACACATTTTCTAATAAATTAAATGACGGCCAGTTAACATTTTGTGCGCCAGTATATTTCGCCTTACAAGATGCAAATCAAAAATTTTAGATACAAGTATGGAAACGATGGCAGTTGACAGTCGGCTATTGAAGATGTTCACAGTTCACAGTGCTGGCTTGCTGGTTTGCTAGTTCTGCGCTTCCGTTTTAATTAAATCTAGTAAATAAGTTAAGACGGTGGTTTTATGTTTGCATGTTTGTTTAAATTTGAATTTAAGTTGGTAATAAAATTATATGAATATTTGAAACAATTATGGTAGGTTCAAAATCAGCGAAGCATTAATGCTCGAAAGATTTCTTGTAAGAAGTTGGCTGAGTTCTTGTTCTTCTGCTGGTTTGTGTGGGAATTTTCTTATCTGATTGAATGAATATTCTTGTAAGAAATATTTAATTGTCTATTCATGTACAAGTGAGTGATTTTTACCTTAGGTACAAATATTTAAATTAACATGGACTTAAGACTTTCTCATGATTTGTTTGAGTTTTGGATTGGGAAGAGTTTACTTAAATGAGACGACGAAATATAGGGGAGTATTTTGATTAAGATTAATTAAGAATATGTACAAGTAGAGGAATTGAAATAAAAAGTTTAAATATATTATAATAACAATTTTGCGTTTATGAAAATAATAATAATTGTTTTTACTTTTCTTTTATTTTTAGACTTGGTTCTTTACTGACACAGATGATTATTACTACCAAGAAAAAACAAGTAAGTTATAAACAAGTGAAACAGTTTATTATATTTTGTTTTATTATTATTTAATTCTACATTCGAATCATTTTCATTATTTCAAAAATAAATACGAAACTTAATTTTGAGAGGTGACGAGTAATAAATAGGGATTATAATATGTAGGATTATAAATTGATTTCGGGCTATAATATTAAAAGTGTGGCCCAAATTGTTGATATTACTCTCAAGCTTATTTGTAAAAGAATGTCAAAGTTGTCCAATTTACACCAGTAATATTTGTGCATACATTAATTTGTATTTTTATATATGGATGTGTTCAACTTATATGATATAAGTGCGAGAGATAATTTTGTAGTTCAAGAAACGAAAAAAATTGTATAAGAGGTGAATATTCAGTATATCAGAGGTACAGGGTATTAAAGGAAAGTGTACCTCTAAAAAATATGCAACCATATAAATGATTATGTTTACAATATTAATTATCTTATAAATACCACTCTAATAACTATTTTATTAAGTATGTTTTAATCCTTTACCTTGTTTTTAACTAGGGTCGATATAGAGAACACAGGAGATAACAATTGACTTTTTCAAAATTTTCAATCATTTCTGCGAAAAACTATATTATTGACAAAATTTTTGTTAATTTTTTTATTCATTTTTTAAACATTATAATATAAATTTTTCTTCTAAAGAATTTCTCATTTATCATGTGCCTTGTTATTGATCTGTGAAGTGCACTACTGATTAATTTTATAAATAAATGAATAAGAAAATAATAAAATATTTTTTATTTATTTTCTTTATTTCGCACCGGCAACGTTGACTGAAGTTATTATTATAACTTTTGTAAGTATAATAATTAATGAATCAATTAATCAAAATTTACTGGTTGGAATAAAGCCGTCTTTGTAAAATGCAATTGACTAAGAAAATTTGGTATGCAATTTTCGACTTACTTGTACTGCAACTGACTCTATCTTACTTTCAAATCTTTAACAGATGTTATGTCGGTCAACTAAAGTAAATCCTTCACTTTGCCAGACACAAACAAGTTCTAAGGTACGATATCCGGTTACACCGCTGGCCAGTGAGGTGGTCTATTCCTTCTAATCAGCGATAAGGGAAATGATTGCCTATCAATTTTTTCACATCCAGCCTAGAATGATTAGATGCTCAACTGTGCTATAATAAATCAAGCTAAATTTATGTTAAATCTATGTTGAGTAGATTTCTATTTTTTGATGTGTGGGTTTTCAGTATCCCAATCATATTAATTGTGGAAGTTCATAATACTGAATCGTTATTTGTCAAAAATTCTATTGGAAATTTACTATAATACTCACATTTTCATAGTCCATCTACCAAATTAGTCATATGACGAAAGTGCAGACAATAAAAAAGTATATAATTTAAGTTAGCAATTTTATATAAATAAGTTAATGATAAATTTTCTAAACTAGTTTGCAAAGTTTTTTTTTTTGAAGTTGAAATACTTCATTAACAGCAATGTTACTAGTTGACATTATTTTTCAAGAATTCTTAGGAGAGAATACTACTTGTGTTCCACATTCATTTAAAAATGTCTGAAAATTCAATAATTAGTTCAACATCAATTTTAAAGAAATCACACAAAAATTATATAAATATTTAACATATAGAATATATGTTAATATAGAAGTCAATGATTAATCTCAATTTAAACATTTTTTTAGACTGAGCTATAATCATAAGAATTCTTTTTTTTTACTTAAAAAACAAATTACTCAAATTTAAATATCAAAATGAATTCATTCTTCATTATATTTAGATTCTTTTGCACTACCTAAACTTATACGGTTTGTTTGCCGCATGTACTCGTACTCGTATTTCAATTTGATTTTGCCGCCATTGCAAATCCATAAATTTCAATCATAAATCAAAGTAATCTAAAACTTCAAAACCTTTATATACTTTATTGTTCATTTTAGTCAGAAATCTTTTGTATTTTGCATTTCATTGTCTGGGCTGTCCGTTTACTTGTACATCAATGATTGCCAGCGCCAAAATATAGCATTTTTATCTGTTTTCATACATTTTTTCTTCACTTAGAGTTTTTGGCTTCTCTAAAAACACAAAATATGTAAAAAAAAGCGCTGATTGCTTTCTAAAATTTAGCGTCATTATATGCCGAAATGAAAAAAAAATGAATCAAGGAACCAGCAGCACACGGCAAACATACGTGAACCTGAGCTAACGATAAAAACCCAATTTAGTTTCACATCAATCTACTCCGCCCACTTGACCGCCTAATTCTGGCCACTGTCTGTCTTGTATGTAGTGCTGCTGCAGCCACTTTTAGCTGTTCGTATGCCAGTTTTTGTGCTCCTCTCATGTGTTCGTCTAAACTTTTGTCTCACAGTCCCACTTATATACTACTTGTATGTCGATTTGTCGGTCTGTTCTTCAGTCAGTAGTTCAATTTAGTTTTCATATGTTTGTGCGTGTTTATCAGTGCGTTTTATTATTATTATACTTTTAAAAAAAATAACCATAAAAGCATAAAAATTTTCAAAATCCTTTTTTAACAGTTTTGTCTGTTAAACGTTACCCTCTGAGGCATATACGCATGCGCACAATTTTCAATCCTTTCCTTTAACCATACTTTGCTCTTGACGATATTGTTTTTGTTGCTGTAGTTGCTGTAGTTCTCGCTTCAGTAGTGGTTCTCGTAAAACAAAAAGTACAACAAAGTTTCCTTGGTTTGCCCGCATTTTTAATTGAATTGCAAAGTTGTTTCAGTAAACCCAAACAAACAAAACAATATCCAGAGAATACATATATTGAAAATCCCTTTGTTTACGATTTTTTCACTAAACTTATATGCATTTCATTTAAAATTTTAATTAAAGTACAGAAGTCGAAATAAGCAATTCAAGCAGTAAAAAAAAATACACGTCAAGGATTGTTTATAATACTGAAAATCTATATAGAAAGGTTTTCCATATTTATTTATATAATACAACTGAAAATCAATTTACCAATTATAAGTGGGCTATAATGTTTGGTAATATAAAATATATAAAAGCATCCGTCAGTTTTTGTCACTAGATATACCCTTTGATATACTATATGATACTATAAGATGCCATAAATCTATACTCCTGTTAGTATCATCAATGCTGCCGTTGTTGATTATATTTTTTTTTTCTTATTCCACTTTTAAATAAAGAGTATTCACTTCAGTTGAGTGTAAATGCAAAAATTAGGTATAAAAGAACAACAATAATGAAGTTTTCTTGAGTTCCATAGGAGTTTCTTGTATACAAAACTAATTTAAGTGGATAGTGCAAAATAGTAAATTGTGTGTCATAAGTAAATTACTAAAAACAGGAGTTTTGGAAAGTTAATATTCAATTGAAACAGAATAATTTATATAAAAGATACATCAACAATATAATACATCTAATGATATAATAATGATTTTATGAGAAAGTATTTAATGGCATGAATGTTTTGCATGCGCTCAACAGTGACAAAGCAGATGTGAAACAACTTTTTTCGTTTCAGCTGATATTAAAGTGGAAATTCAGAAATCCAATATTTTAACGAAGATTATAATCATAACGTTAGATGTTTAACTATTTAAGGCTGAACAACTAAACTATCTGATCAATTACTCACATATTATTGAGCATTCTAATTTGCATTTAATTGTTCTTTATAGGAAGAATTCAAAAATATTGTATGATGCGCAGATCGTTTAAATATGTTGAATGTGTTTCTAAAAAGTATTGTCTGGTTAGCTTATTCGGTCTGTAGAGAAAAAACTTATTGCATTCACGTTCAAAAAATAGCCAAAAATAGACCATGGTTATGTTATTCTGATCTTTAAAACTCTAAAGCAGCTTGATTGTCTAATAATGTCATTCAAGATAAGTATATCAATTTAAGATGAACTGTAATTTTTATAATAGCATTACTTTTTGCTTAAAATTATTTTTATTTTCACCATATTCTTGGTGGATGATTACTGTTAGTAAGAGCATGTTGGATAAAATATTATTATTATGTATATATTATATAATAAATAATAATACATACCTACGTCTGATTTTGGTTCACTATAAAATTGTTTAGAGCTCATTTATTCGTTTTGTTGTGTGTATCTACTAAAATGTGTAAAAACACTAAGTCCGGTGGTCGACAATTTAAAGACTCTCTGTAGGCTTGGTTATATAAATCTGTGATTTACATAAGCAAGTAAATGACAAATTTCTCACAGTCGAGACTGTGAGAGCTTTGAGCATTTATTACATTATTCTCATATATTTTGATTTTTCTCAAATTTATTTCATATATATACTTCTTATATAAATATGGTCAACTTTTCGAAGTTTATTTGGGTTCTCTTTTAGAGCGTAGTATTTAGCAATTAATTTTAATATAATTTATAATAATTTATCTTTTTACTACATATTATTAAAAATTCTGGAAAAAAAAGTATTTTTTTGTAGTTTTCGTGACTATAAGTTAATTTTTAAATCCTTTAAAAAATCCACCACAATGTTTCTTAATTATTTAAATTTATTTGGAAGTTTTTATATTTGTGCCACTGTATTGCAAGTTCAAGTACGCTTGCTTGAAGGCGTTCGTTAACACATTGTTTGCAAAATACTGAAAACAGCAATAAATAAAAAAAAATAAATAAAGGAATAAAAAATGCATTAACATATTCGCACGTTTATTTATACTGGAGCATAGAAACAAGATAGCAAAGTTTCTTCACAAGTAGTTCTTTTGCAGACTGAAAAGAAAAACAAGAACAAGCAGAAGAGACACAGTCTATAGGCCTTGTTCTCTGGCCTTTGTTTGAAATTAATGTCTGGTCACTATCAATCAGTTTTGACAGTTTTAAGTGGATTTTTATGAAAATTGAGTTTCAATATAAACTTTGATTTCAAATTGCTTTTTGCTGAATTTTTCCCCACATGCAACTAACTAAAACACTTTTGTTTTCACTACTAAAATCGTAT